GTGGTGGTGGTGTGGTTCGAGCGCTCCTGGTTGCTGCGGAGGCCCCGGTGAAAGTGCACCGTTTTACAAGAAGAATGTTGCATCGTTGCGTGATCTTGGCATTTCAGACATCCTCACCGGGCACAGGCAACTTCCGGTATGGAAGCAGAGCTCAAGGAGCTGCTGGGCGCCGCCTCGTCTGTCGTCGGGTAATGTTTCGCTTGATTGATGCGCTCCCCGCCAGTGATTTTCGATTAACACCTGTACTCGGCGTCGCTCCGGAACCACCGCTTTTTGCTTCCTTCGAGTTTACCCGTGCTGCTGCAGCTGCATGCCGAGATTGTTCGGGCTGGCCCTCTGCGAGTGTGGTGCCTGTTTCGAAGAGAGACTGCAGTGCACCGCCGCTGCGTGGGGCGCTGCATCTGTGATCTGGTGGCATTCCGGGGCGGCCCGCTGCGTTGCTGGGCCTCTGCTGGCTGCTGCCTTCTCGGCGTTCGTTGGTGCGGCTCTCGGCGAGCTGGCGCTAATTTTGCCATGCTCACTGCATATCGGTTGTTTTGGCGTTAACTGTTCCGGTTTTTAGGCGCAATGCGCAGAGTGGTACTTTACGGAATGAGGATTTCCGGCAACTGCTCACAAAGAAGGCAGCGCAGGCATCAGCGAATGCGGCCAATGCATCACCACAGACGCAGCCCACTCACTCATTCAGTCATCGTCAGGCTGCCGAGTGAGCCCTTTCAGCGCATTCCTCAATTTAACGTAACCGGATGATTTTGTCATTGCACGCCATTTATTTTGTAATAAAAACCGACGAAATTTAACATGCATTTATTGAAAATGATTTCTTTTTCTTTCTTTGTTCTGACGTTTTTGGTGAAAAAAAAAAGGATTTCTATTGTTAGTAAATGAAATTTCTGGGCCTCGATAAAAATTGCCACATTTTCAGCTCAAAAAGGATTTCCGGCACAACTGTGAAAACAAAGAAACCGAGGGAACGAGTCAACGAGGATGATGAGGATAACATATTTGGTAAGGCGGTTCGTCGAAACCCCGTTCATACTCATTCTTTTTGAAAAACTGCCACACTTACAAGTGCTGCTTGTGCTGCCACATGCCAGTAGCTTCTACTGTCCGAGAAGCCACCGGCCGTCGCTCCTTCTTCCGAGGGTTGTGTACAACAAAATTAATATTTGCCTGAGCCAGTCAGTGAGCATTTGTCGTCGAAACGAATAACGATGATTTGGTTGTCTTGTTTTGTGAAATCGAGCATTCAGTCGCCAGATCAAGAGCAACACCACTTTAATTGTGCTCTCACCTCTCCCATACCTCGCTGATTCTGAATTCTAGATCCATTTATTCGCTTCCCTAATCTGCTTGTTTTTACCCTGAGCTGGCTCATTGAGGCCGCAAGCTGGTCACTTACTTTCTCATGAACATCACTCGCCAGTTGGCAAGGCGAGCAACACCCCCTACCCGTGCGATTTGATCTTTTCACTTCGACGCAGTGATATCCTGTATGCTTCTCATTTGACCTAAGGTCTGATTGTTTGCATGGTCACGAAGAGACACGCCAAGCATTGTTCGCGCCATCGCAGTACACGTCACAGCAGCGTTATGTCTTAAACATTTGCCAAAAACAAAGCTTCGTATCCGTCTCTCATTGCCTTCAGCACGATGGTGTTAAAAAGTCGCCCGGCTTTGGCACTTTAAGAACATGACAATTCCCTGAAATTTTTGCCATCTGCCAATGTGGACCTAAGTGCTAACTTCTTCCAAGTTGTCATCACCTTTTTACAGTCTTGCCGGCGGGCATACCGGTACTTTACTTTGCATGAACACGAAGAGAGATGCCAAGCATTCGTGGCTTGAACGCCCAGTTCGCTATAGCAGCGCTAACTTCCTTTGTGCGTCACGCTTTTGCAGCATCTCATTTGTATCGTGGGGGTTGTTTAGCGGAACGCGCTTGATTTAACTTCTCACCATTGATCTCCAGACTGTCTTTCCAATTCTTCTGCAGCAGGCCGTAAAAAGTTTGGGCGATGTGGATTCGTCTTGCCTACTTCTGCTTTTGCTCGATATGCGAATTAGAATGGGAAAAAGTGTTATTCTGTTGAGCAGATTGCGTTCGCTTCCTTATGACAATTTCCGTGCAATTCCTATCAATTCCTCAGTCTGATAGAGCTCCTAGTAGTACGGCATTCAGTTTTGCGCCATCGAATGCTTCATATTCAATGAATAAAGAAGCAATGAATGAACAGCTGTCACTTTTGCGTTGCAGTAACTGGTTTTGAGTAAAAAATGTGGCCCATCCAATTACAGTTGGCTAGCTGCCTCGATGTTGTTTATTGAGAGGACTTGTATTATATGTATATATATAGCAATTTTAGGGCCTTCAAATTTGAATGAAATTTTAAAAAATTACCGTGATCGTGCCGAAGAAAGACGCAAAGGCATTGGCAAGGATGATACGGTGGACGATTTGCAAGCTAGTAACGCCTACCGGGCAGTCCCTGGCGACGTTCGTGCAACAGCTGATGCGGCACAACGTCGGAAGCAAGCTATTCAGGTTATTGCGCTATTTTAGTGGCATTTTTTTTTTTTTTCAAATGCGTATTTCGGATTCCTCGGTGGATGAAAAACATACTGTTCGCATTTCGAAATGAGATGCAAAAATTAGCTGGCTGAATTCGCAGACAGCCGCGCACATGTCTGAAAATGATGAGTCGCCTGAAGCCTTACTAATATAGATCAGCGGGATGGAGTACCATCAGCAACTTGTGAAACCTCTCTGTTTTCCAACAATAACGTAAGTTGACCGTGTTCCACTTTGTTGTTAGCTTTTTTATTCGAAATTCAATGGTGGCACATCAGCTGCTCCTGCGAAGATGCGTTTTTTGCATAGTTCTCCGCAGTTTTTGTCGCTACTACATTGACGGGGAACATCCCCTCAAAATTACAGTCTTTTAGCTTTTCAGGTTCTCGAGTTAGCAACTTACCCGAAAAAAAACTTTGGCGAGCCCGTACTTGGGTACCACGCATACTCGTGGGTTGGGTTTGGACTCATCAATGCCTACTTGGGCGGAGAACACTCCCTTAAAATTCCAGTTTTGTAGCCTTTCAGGTTCTCGAGTTAGCGATTTACCCGAAAAAAATTTGGCGGGCCCGTACCTGGGTACCACACGTACCCGGGGACTAGTTTTAAGCTCCCTAAGACTGACGCGGGCAGGGAACATCGCCGTAAAATTTCAGCTTTATAGCTTTTCTGATTCTCGAGTTAGCAATTTACCCGCGAGAAACTTTCACGGGCTCGTACGTAGGTATCACGCGGGCAAGAGCGCCCATTTCGGAGTTGGGAGCCCGTGCACGCATGTAGATTAAATTACCCAATTTTCAGCCCCGTAGCTTTTGTAGGTCTCGAGATCAAAAATCGGTACAGACGCGCAGCGCACACACAGACACAGACACACACACACACACACATACACACACACGCAGACAACCTCTCGTCAATATGCGTTTTCTGCATTGCATAGCTGCAAAAACGCATAAAAAGCAGTGTTCCGGAGAGGCATAGAACGAACGATGCATAGCAGATTTCAACATGTCCGATGAAGAGGTCTAGCGTTAGTGATGTTTCCGAGGCAGTATAGGACAGAGAAAGAATTGCGCTAGTCTTTTGGAGCGGATAAGTGACAGGTGATGAAAGCTTGAATAGTAGTAAAACGGTAGTATCCGCAAACAGCTAAGGAAGTGAACGCGATGGAAGATCCAGTTGAATATGTGTATGAAGTTACGTGGATGTGCGGGAGCACGGAGAAGCTACCACTTTCAGCACTAGAACAACTATAAAGAATGTTATCAGCAGGGTACGACTTCGCAGAGATTGATTTTACGAGGAAACTTGATCAAGATGTAACAAAATGCGAGGAAGAGAAAGGAACTTCTCGTTGAGCCATAAAATGCTCGTTTTTTAAAAGAGGTGAAGTCAGAAATGTTAACTTCTGGCGAGCTTAGTGTAGCGACTATGTAGCGTCGGCATACAGGGTTGGACTCAGATCAACAGCTGGGAAGGGTGACTCATCCGCGAATCGTTCTGTTCCATTGCTAAATTGGCACTAGCGAGCCGGGGAGTCCGAGCTTTTCCATGCTTTCTTCACAGGGCAGTTTTTAAAGACGGAAAATATCGAAGTAGTTGCGCTCTGATTTAAGCAGTAATTGATTTCAGCAAGATGCCGTCATTGGTACTGTTGCGGTACCTTCTTGGATTTAGACTTCTACTTAAGACTAACGCTGAT